AGTGCGCGGCGGCGGCAGCACGGGCAGGGCCTGAGGGGCGGCCGCGAGTGCGGAGCGCCGGAGCCTGTCGGGGTGCGGGGCCCGCCTGCCGCCGAGCTGCTTTCCCGTCGGTGCTCGGCGGGCTGGCCGGGGCCGGATCAGACCAGACCAGACCGGATAAGGCGGGGGCAGGACGGAGGGGCTGTCCTTGAGAGCGGACGTGTTTCCTGCCCACAGGGAGGCTGCCGAGCATGGAGTTCCCGTGCCCCCTGGAGTCCGCCAAGTTTATAGCCGCCCATAGCAAAGATGTGTCTGTGGACGAGGAGGAGGTGCGGCGGGTGGCGGAGAGTTTGTTTGACAAAGCCTCGGCGGAGGAGTTCGGGTTGGCGGGGTGGAAGACCCTCCACGAGCTGAACCCCCAGGCCGCCAGCGAGGAGGCCGTGAGCTGGGTGTTCCTTGTGGACACCCTCAACTTCTCCTTCTGGTCCGAGCAGGAGGAGCAGAAGTACCTGGTGAAGTACAAGGGTAGAACGTACAGCGGCTACTGGTCCCTCTGTGCCGCCGTCAACAGGGCCCTTGACGACGGTTAGTAAGCGTAAGAGGAGGGGGCTTCCCCCGCCACCTGAGCCGGGGGCTGTGCTGGGCCTGGCTTTGCCGCGTCCGGCGGCCTGCGGGCCCCCGGCGAGCAGCCGGGAGGGGCGGGCGGGGCGTTAGAAACTGAGCGATGAGTACAAGATAGAAGAGGTGCCTCAGAAACAGCAGCCCTTTCTGCAAACTCTTGCTTGCGGTGCTGATAAATCTGGATGTGCAGGCCGTCCCCTAGAGCTTGAGGGAGGTAACTGGAAGTGCTTTAATAATACCTTGTACTGCAACTGCATGGCTTGCGGCTCTAATTTGGTTATCTCCTTTCCTTTAAAAACATTTTAAAGAATGACTGTAGCCAGCCGTTCGTGACTTTTTTATTTCACCTGTGTTTTTAAGATTAATTGCGTATTTTCCATGATAAAAGAGAAAATGAGGCCTAAATTGAGAATCTTCTAGTATCAAAGTGGCTCCAGTAAGTCTGAAAACACATATGCCTCCAAAACCAGTATTTTAGTGCTCATTCTTGTTGCTGTCATCCCCCCCAAAATATTTGTAGGTATAGATGGAATTTTTAATTAATTTCCTATATATTTGTTTGTAAACTAAAGAGAAGGTTTGCATTAAGATAATTTTTGTGAATGCACAGCATGGTTGGAAGCGAATGCAAAACAGAGCTATGCTGACTATATACTAAACATATGCTAACTGTATTTGTTAGTTTGTTACATAAACACCACTCTCAAAGATGATGACTAAGCAGTTGGGAAGAATGACATATTAAAAAAGTTAGAAAGGTTCTGTAGTTGCATTTGGAAATTATTATCTGTAGAAGGTAGCACAGTGTGCAAACACAGATTTAGTTTTAAGCAGCTATGTGAGTGCGGTTTATCACTGAACACTCAGGTGATCTTAAGACGTGATACTCTTTAGATCTTACTGTATAAATGCTCTCACTTGTAGCAGGCCACTGCATTAGGTCTCAGGATATGTTATGATAGCCTAAACATCTTGTTTTTACTTTTCTGAAGGAATACCTATTACCAGTGCCTCATATTTTGCCACTATGACGCTTGACCAAGTTAAGCAAGTATTTCGCTCTGACACAGAAGTGCCCATACCTTTGATTGAAGAAAGACATCGGGTGTTGAATGAAAGTGGAACAGTACTATTAGAGAAGTTTGGAGGCTCCTTCCTCACCTGTGTTAAAAAGAGTGAGAAAAGTGCTCAGAAACTACTACATCTAGTACTGGAGAATTTTCCTTCTTACAGAGATGAAGCTGTATTTGAGGTAAGCTAGTTCTAACATTGAATTTCTTATAATAAGAATTTATCCCTTATTGATTGCAACTTTAAAAGATAGCTCATAGGTTGTCAGTGTAATTTTTTTCTGAGAGGATAGTCAGTTCAGAATTCATCTAATATTTGTGAATTGTTGGAATTTTTAATCCAGGAAACAGAAGTGACCAGAAATGTTTTTGTGGAATTTGTTGTATTCAAAAGTAAAATTCAAGAGAAATAGGACGGAAAATTACTTTTTTTAAAAAAAAAAAAACACAAACAACATTTTTGCATCAAATCCGTGAAAGTATTGGTCTGTATAATGAAAGGAAAATCAGACTTTGAAGCAGTTGATCTTAATTATGTAAATTGCTATGAGTCATACAGACAGGGAAGAAATTTTTTAAATAATACTCTTGGACCATGGTATACCTTTTTTGTTAAGATGGGGTAAAATTACTGAGATTTTATTTCTCTTATCAGTCTAAACCTCTGAAAACAAAATCATTAACAGTAAAACAATCTTGACTGTCTTAAGTCCATAACTACTTAGGAATGTATTTCTAATTACAAGAGTCACTTTTTCCCCAGAGGAGTAATTTTTTTGTCATACACTGTCTATGTCTTCATCGCTTTGTTGTAATTTATTTTGATACACTCCAAGTTTCCAATTAGATCATGACTTCTTTATACTCCTTGTGAATGTATAATATTTGAGATAATTTCTGTGTGAAAAATGAGAATCTTTTTTCCTTTTTTTTTCTTGATTTGCCACCAAGCCCCCTCCCCCATCTCTCTCTCTCTTCCTTTACCTTGAGGATCTCTACAGCTAATGAAGGAAATGAAACTCCAGTAGAGTTGTGAAAGTGTGCAACTACTGGGAATCCACACTGTAAGTGTTGTTGATTCAACAGGTGTTGCATGAATGACTGTAGGCCAGAAGTCACCCATACTTCTGTCAGGGTTGACAGAGTTGTTTTCGTGAAAGAATCTGATGGAAAGTAAACAGAGACAATCTGGTGTTTTCTTTGTCTCTGGTTTTGCCTACGCAGGCATGATCTTTGTTTAGTGTCAGTGACATACATAGCTGCTCCTGTGCTCAGGTCCATCCACAGTAGTACTCAGCTGTTAGGGCATTATGTCCAGAAGACTTTATTCTAGTAACAGTGTAGCCTGTACTAATGGTCTGTGCTCTTTTTCAAGGTAACTTCCTGGAACTGGAACTTTGAACCTATTGCATTTATCACTTAAATCTGCCCTTCAGTGGGTGGCACGATTTTATTTTCCTTTGTGTCCTGCTATGAAGCAAGATATGTTTGCGTGAAAAATCAGAGGTTCTTTCTAACTAGTCTTTGAAGCTACTGGTTTGATTTTGGGGGGATTTTTTACATATAAATAGAGCATTTTCTTATCTTTATAGTGATTGTATTCATTGATGTAATGTCTTTCATGAAATCATGCTGAGTGCTTTGTAAGGCAAGTCTCCTTAAAAGCAGCAGCAGACTACAGAATTAAAAGATGTTTTAAAAATTATTCCAGACTGTAAGCATTGAGATAGTGTGCATATGGAAGCTGTTTTTCAGCTTTCACTAAGCAAGATATGTATTCTGAAGGTGGGTGAAATAATGTAGTCATTTGTTGTTTAAAAAAAAAAAAATATTGGTGTTAGCACTCACTAATGTGAGATGACATAGATCACATTATCAACATCCTTTCTATGGCAGCAGGTTGAGCTCTCACAAGTAAGACTTTTGCCTTCAATAAATGGCCACAGGGAACTGAAAAGGTGGTGAGATATCTAATAGCAAACCAATGTTTTTCAGTAATTCTCCATAGTAGAAATATATATGATTATAAGATAAATTCTACGGTAGAATCATACTATCACAGACTACCACAGCTCTCCTATGTTCTGACCTTCTAGGGGAACTTCTAAATTTAACACAGTTCTTTGGCTATATGTTCTTCCAAACACACAAGATATTTTTCATAATTACACATTATTGACTGTATTATAGAAATTGCCAATGTTCTTTTGATTCTGAAAAGTGAATTGCAAATCAAAGCCAAAATTCCTGAAACCTTGTTGTCCTTGGGTGGATAGTTCATATTCAGATGCTATGCTGAATTTTAATCCTGACAGAAATTGAAATTTTAGACGATGTTATACTTGCATATCAGGGTTTTCATGTTCAGACATAGACACAGTGGAGTCCTTTCCAAGCTTCCAGTCATTGACATTGTGTATATGTATCTTTTATTTCCCATCACCTGGGGCTGAGGTGGTAAAATTGCATGATCCTCCTGTTCTTTGCTTTGTTTTGTTTTGTTTTTTTTTTTTTTACAGCTGTGCTATTGCCAATGCAATACTCCTTCTTTTAATATCATAATAGGTCATAATTAGTTATATATCCTGATACTGGCTCATTGTAATGGGGAGAAGACACAAGTCTCACTATATAGGGTAGCTTTTTCTGAAGAGTGAGGGTGTTGTGGGAAAAAAGTGCAGTTGTATTGCCATCTGGTAAAATGTTCTATTCCTGGACAAATGATACTATCTTTGAGACATAGTATCATCCACCTCATGCTTTCCTTGCTTTCTGTTGATAAGAATGGTGGGAAATTTACTAGAAATGCCTAATGCCTTTTTCATACTGAGGATTTTTCATAAGCTTCTGTAGCTCTGTGGAGCATAAAAATTAACAATAATGGAAACAATGAAATTGTAAATTCATCAGCTCAGTGATAAGTCCCAGACATTATTTTTCTTCCAAATTACATTGCAGCATGAGGTGAAAAGTTCCATTTGAATTCTCCTGTACTCTGCTCTTGCAAAATGGTGTGGCACTAGAGACTGTCTTTTCTTTATTATATTGGAAAAATCTTAATGCTATAAAAGTGCGATGTCCTTGGTTTCCATTATCTAGCAGTAGAACTATAATGGGATTTGGTCTATTAATTATTTACTTTCTGTTGTGATGTTTCAAATGATGTTTTATTATTTAACATACAAAATTGTGTATGGTCTCTAGGACTAAGTTTGTGCATCTATGTCAAGTATAGAATGAATCACAGTGAAAGTTTTCAGGGTGTTTGGCTGCAGTTAGTCTGCAAAACATAGTCGGACATATTGTTTTCAGTGTTTTTGGAGAACAGCATTTAATGACAAAAATATGCTTTGCTCTCAGGAGTAATTGTAGCGTCTTGGCAATAAAGTAAAATTAAATTAGCTTAAAAAATGTCATTTGTAAATTGTGGTGATACGAAGGGTGGCAGAATAAAACTAGAGAGAAATCGAATCTCCGCCTACTTATATTTCAGATTAGCCATTTCAGTTGCCTGTTGTTTAATGCACATTATCAAAGGTCGTAAATCTCATCTAGCTATAAAGGAAGTAAAAAACCCACAACCCATTATCACATTTTTTCTAAGAGGCAGATTTATTTTCACACATTGTGTTCATCATAAAGTAAAAACCTCAACAACATACAGATTGTAGCATATCTTTAGTTTTTTCCCTTGTGAATAGCCACAAAAGCATGTGAATCTTTGCAGGATTAGCACCAGCAAAAAAGTTTATGACAAAAATAGAACCATGCACAGCATTTTAGAAAATCTCATATTTGTGAATACACCTTCTGGAATTAATTTTTCTCTCTAACTTGCAAGATACACTACACAACAGCACAGAGGAGCATTCACTAAAGTTTTCACTAAAATTTGTTTCCTTAACAGGTAAATTAATTAATGAAATGTTTTAATTGTGTAATCTAATATATGCCTTTTACACTTCTCTCCTTGAAATAAAAGTTTGGATGAACTCCAGGGTTTCTGAAAGAACTAATGTTTGCTGGACTTCAACTACAGTGTTTGCCAAGTGGAAGTAAACCAACATTAATGTGTTCTGAGATCCAGGCAGAATCTAAACAATTTTCATTCCACTGCTGTGACTTCTGTTATATTTTTCTTCCATTTTTGAGCATTCCATATGATATTTGTTTGTGGGATAGTATTTGATAGTATATGATAGTATTTGGATTTTAACGTGTTTAAGTGTTGCACTTTTATTCTGTTTTAGCTAACTAATATCGTTGCTTAACTGAATGATAGCTTAATAGAACAATGTCATTCTTGCATGTCTCTGTACATGTAACTTGTAATTATTCATCTTTCAGGCACTTAAATAATTCATAAATTTCTTTCATCAGAAAAAAAAGGTGTCTTTCTACAAACGGGCTCAAATACTTGTGGCTGATACATGGAGTGTATTAGAAGGCAAAGGAGATGGCTCTTTTGATGACATTTCTACTCTGACTATATTTGCTGACTACAGAATCCCTCAAGTTCTTGTTCACTTAAAAGCAATGAAGTATTCTGAAGAACTAATGAAGAAACTACGTGAAGGTTTGTTTCTCCCGTAATAACATCAAGTAATCTTACCTCTTGATATTGTAGACTAAAGCTACTTTTAAAATTTAGTGTTTTGTCCATGTAAGGGTTATGTGTATTTTTTTTCTTCTCCAGGGAACAAGGTCTTATGTAGTGATGAGGGAACAGGAAGAAACTTACTTTCTAGCAGTGATCTTGAATGAGATTTTAAGGTTATGTTTTTATAAAGATCTGTTTCTTGGTTTAAATATTGATTAGGGAAGGATTAAAGAGACTCTAAGCCCGTTGATTTCTGAGTTTCTGAAGGGCTGCTGTTGCCAAAATCACTTTTCAGCATGAGTATAGCTGTGATTTTTGAGGTTCGATTGATGAAAACATCCATTAGAAAAAAAAAAAAAAAAAAAAAAAAAAAGATTGCTTTAAGTGAGCTTAATTGTGTAAGACTAGAGTCTTGTTTTTAAGCATGGTTGCATCTTCCAGTACTCATTAGCTATGAACTTCAGTGAATAAAAACATAAACCAATCCCTTTCCACTGTAAAATGACTGGATTTAGAGATAGGACTGCTATTATGCAATTTTTAAATTACCCAGCAGGATAAACAGATGAATGCAGTCATCCATGAATCGTAACAGAATGGCCATTTATATATATGTGCCTATATAGGTGTATCTATAGATTTGTTAAAAGAAATTTCTTTACCTGAGGTTTATTATAGCAGAGTCTCAGGCATCGAATCTTATAAAAATAATTCATTCAGAGGGTACATAAGAAAAACAGCTTGAGAAGGGTGCCTCCAGAGAAGGACCTTGAAGAAAGAAATCTCTGGGCAATTATACCCTTACAGTGTAAGTTCCCTTCCCCTCACACGGCAGTTTGGTCCAATAGTAACATTTGGGTTTGGAGTCATCTTGTTCCTTATTGGATCCTTTTTCCATCTCTAAGATGGCTGTTCCTTATCTTGAGGCTGCAGCTTCTGCTGACTTATTTTTTTTAGAATGCATCTGTCTTGGGGCCTCCCTTCATGTAACTAAGTTCAGCATAAGTTCACTGTTTGTGGCCTAAGGCTTTAGTGGGTTTTTCCTTTAATGCTGTACAATGGATTCCGCTTGAGCTAGGAAGTGACTATACAATAGATTCTGTCTGAGCTACTTACAATATATTAAATAGATCATGTAGACAATTCATCTTTTTCATTAATCCAGATAAGGACATTCCCACTGAAGTCATTCAGATAAATGGGTGCCTTTATATTTTTATATATATAGCTTTTTGGGTTTTAATTCCTAAGTCTTAGAGTTCTCCTATCAGAAAGTATACTATTGGAATTATGTTTGACTATCTTTTTTGTTTCCACAAGCAAAGAAATAGTCATGTAATGTGTAGTATAACCCAAACAGATGTTCTTTTCTTAAACCACTTTCTTAGAATACAGGATGTTGTTATAACTGAATGGGAGGTAAACTTACAAGTGCCTAGGCGAAATTAATCATTAGAAAATGTATCGCAACATTGTTAGCAGTCGCAGTATAAGTCATGAAAACAGCAGTTCTAGACTAAGTGTGCGGGGAGGAGGGGGGGAAAGGCAAATTCAGGCTGTCCTGGGGCTTCTGTCTCTTGAATGTAATTGGATTGCTGTCTCTTGTTGTCCTGCAGGAACAATTTTCCAATCAGGAGATAAAGAGGAAGTAGAGATCCGTGGCTGTTCCATTTGGTGTTGTTCATTGATTTGTGAGCACCTGCTGAAGCTCTATGAGAAGAAGGGTCAGGACATGCGTGAAAAGATCAATGCAGTTTTACTCGATTATCATCTTTGGGATTACGCGAGGGATCATAGGGAGGAGATGAAAGATACTCCATTTCACCGCGTACGGTGTATATATTACTAAGTCCAGTCTGACAGCTGTAGCATCGATGCTTTATCTTTTGAATCACATTAGTCTTTTCATATGATGGTTTGTCACGTACACCTTTGGAACTGTTAAATGATTTTCTGATGATGTATTCGCTACTTGCTTTTTTTTTTTTCCTCTGAATCTTTCTGTTGTGGTGACAAACTGTGCACGCTTTGCTGGATGATTTGTGTTAACAGAGGTGTATTACTCGCACTCTGGGGTCTGTGTCTGTGTTCACACATGCGTTCGCACACACCCGTCTGCGTGCCTGGGCCCCGTGGGGGGCCCTGCCCGCGCCT